ATCAGTTTTATAAATAAAGTTTTAACGTCTCACTGGATTCTTTGTTCATCAGTTTTATAAATAAAGTTTTAACGTCTCACTGGATTCTTTGTTCACCAGTTTTATAAATAAAGTTTTAACGCCTCACTGGATTCCTGCAGAGAGTGTCTGAGGTCAGCAACAGCTGGTGGCACTCCATGCTGATCCTGCCCCCGCTGTTTAAAGAGAGTCCAGCCGCCCCCTTCCTCTCCGCCTACTACCCGGACTGCGTGGGGATGAGCCCCTCGGGGTCCCCATGCACCCCGTCCGTGTCGGAGCTGAGGGCGGACCACTGCAGAGCGGCTCCGCCTCAGAGTGAGTCCTGAACCTCGGGACCCTGAAGGCAGCACGGCGGTGACGGGCGGTGACGTTTCCTCTCTCAGTTCCAGGTCTGAGTCCGTACTTCCAGCCCTTCTACCAGCCCAACGAGTGCGGCAAGGCTCTGTGCGTCCGGCCCGACATGATGGAGCTGGACGAGCTCTACGAGTTCCCCGAGTTCTCCAGAGACCCCACCATGTACCTGGCCCTGAGGAACCTGATCCTGGCCTCCTGGCACAGAAACTGCAAGGTGGGCTCTGCTGGGACTGATCAAACTCCCTCACCTGGTCCTGGTTTCATCCAGGAGGTGATCCCTAGAAACACATTTGGATCTTTGAGATTAATTAAAGATTTTAGCTACTTTTGTTAGCTTTGGTTTAGCTTCTTCAAATTTTATCCAGTTTTTTAGCTCAGTTTTAGCTTTTTCAGCTAGTTTCTTCCGTCATTCAGTACTCAGTGGTCCGGACTTTCTAACTTTCTTTGTTTGTTTACCTACGGAAAGAGCTAAAGTGTGTTTGTTTACATATGAAAGCAGCTGAAGTAGGTTTTTTTTTTTACCAATGGAAGCAGCTAAAGTATATTTTTTTACCTAAGGAAGCAGCTAATGTATGTTTGTTTACATTTGGAAGCAGCTAAAGTATGTTTGTTTACATTTGGAAGCAGCTAAACTATGTTTGTTTACATTTGGAAGCAGCTAAAATATGTTTGTTTACATTTGGAAGCTTTGCTAATTTTGTTAGCTTTGGTTTAGCTTCTTAAAATTTTACCCACTGTTGTTTTTAGTTCAGTTTTAGCTTTTTCAGCTAGTTTCTTCAGTTGTTCAGTGCTCAGTGGTCCGGACTTTCTGAGAATATTCTAGATTTATTTCCTGTTTTTTTCACTCTGAACCATTCAGAGCTCCTGAACCCGATCAACAAGCTGAAGGTTCTGGTTCTGGACTGAATCTGAGTCCAAAGTAAACCTCTTTTGTTTCTGCAGGAGGTTCTGACCGCAGAGACATGCGCTCAGCACATTGTTGTTCGGGGTTTGGTGCGGGTCCGCTGCGTCCAGGAGTTGGACCGGGTTCTGCACTTCATGACCCGGAAGGGTCTGATCAACACCGGGGTTCTGACGGTGAAACGTCCTCTGCTGCCTGGAAAATACAACTCTGTGAGCAAACATTTGGACCTTTTAGGTTCTGATCTGACCTGGGACCCTCAGGTTCTGACCTGACCCGGGCCCTCAGGTTCTGATCTGACCCGGGCCCTCAGGTTCTGACCTGACACGGGCCCTCAGGTTCTGATCTGACCCGGGCTCACTGTTCTGATTTATTTTTCCCGCAGAAGAAGGTGATCATCGTCGGTGCCGGGGCCGCAGGGCTCGCTGCGGCGCGGCAGCTGCAGAACTTTGGCACTCAGGTAAAATGTTCGGATCTCCTCGTGAACTCGTGTTTGAGTCCCGTCAGAAGCTCTGAGCCCCTCCCCCTCAGGTTCTGGTGCTGGAGGCCCGGGACCGGATCGGCGGTCGGGTTTGGGACGACCGGTCTCTGGGCGTGACGGCGGGCAGAGGCGCTCAGATCGTGAACGGCTGCGTGAACAACCCCGTCGCCCTGATGTGCGAGCAGGTTCGTCCACCGAGTCCGGCGCCTCCCGGGCTTCCTGTTCTGTGGGCGGGGCTTTCAGTCGGGTCACGGGTTCTGTTCTGCCGCAGATGGGCGTCGCGATGCACAAGCTGGGCGAGCGCTGCGACCTGTTCCAGGAGGGCGGGCAGGTCACCGACACCGCCATCGACAAGCGGATGGACTTCCACTTCAACGCCATCTTGGACGTGGTGTCGGAGTGGAGGAAGGACAAGTCGCAGAGCCAGGACTCACCACTAGGAGGTGCTGCTGCAGCGCTCAGGATCGACCAATCAACGCGTCTCAGGATCAACCAATCAGAACGCGTTTAATGATCCGACGTTTGTTTCTACAGAAAAGGTTCAGGAGGTGAAGAAGAACTTCCTGCAGGAGTCTGGGATCCAATTCAGCGACCTGGAGGAGAAAGTTCTCCAGTTCCATCTCAGTAATCTGGAGTTCGCCTGCGGGAGCTCGTTGGACCAGGTCTGCCCGCCAGGTCCGGTTAGCGCTGCTGGGACCAGAACCAGACTTTCACACGTTTTGTGTTTCTGTAGGTGTCCGCTCGGTCCTGGGACCACAACGAGTTCTTCGCCCAGTTCTCAGGAGACCACACGCTACTCACCGAGGGCTACGCCGTTCTACTCCACAAGCTGGCCGAGGGTCTTGACATCCACACCGACTGTCCGGTTCGTCAGCCGGGACTTTGTTCTGGACTCGTTAGTCCAACTGATTTATTAAAATAAAAATAATCTGAAGAGAATAAATCTGTTTCCTGTAGGTCCAGACCATCGATTACTCAGGTGACGAGGTTAAAGTGACCTCCTCTAACGGAGACCAGTGGACGGCTCAGAAGGTGAAATAAGTTCTCTATGGGATAAAACTTGTGCCAACAGGAATTAGAATTACTCAGATTGAATCTGAATGTTCATAATTTGAAACTGAATGCATTGATTTGAAAATGAATTTCACTAATTTTAAACTAAATTTAGTTTTGTATCTGAATTAATTTGCTTTGAAACTGTATTTTGGTTTATTAAAAATTCAGTTTGACTACTTTCACTTTCAGTTCCATAATTCAGATTTTTGTGTCACATCCTGGTCCTTGAGAAAGCCAGGCAGAGTAATCAAACACAGATCCACAGATTTATGTTTCACTTTGGTGAAGTTTCCCTTCTGGATGTAACAAAAAGTGAATGTAACATTTTCTACATATAGGTCAAATTAATCACTGCAATAAAATAACTTTGTGTGTTTTTGTCACTTTTACAGTGGATTGCATCAACTCTGTTACATCCAGAAGGGAAACTTCACCAAAGTGAAACATAAATCTGTGGATCTGTGTTTGATTACTCTGCCTGGCTTTCTCAAGGACCAGGATGTGACACAAAAATCTGAATTATGGAGCTGGAAGTGAAAGTAGTCAAACTGAATTTTTAATAAACCAAAATACAGTTTCAAAGAAAATTAATTCAGATACAAAACTTTAAATTCAGTTTCAAATTAGTGAAATTTATTTTCAAACCAATGCATTCAATTTCAAATTATGAACATTCAGATTCAGTCTGAGAAATTCAGATTCACTTCCTGCTGGCACAACATTTATCCCGTATTTCTCCTTCACACAAAAAGTGTTTGTTTCCTGCGTCCAACCTGTGTTTTCCCTCAGGTTCTGGTAACCATCCCGTTAACTTTGCTCCAGAAGAACCTGGTCCGCTTCAACCCGCCGCTCCCCGACAGGAAGCTGAAGGCGATCCACAGCCTGGGGGCCGGGATCATCGAAAAGGTTTTCATCCATTTATTTACTTATTTAAAGACTTGAATTCTTCCTTAAAGTGCCTGTGACRTCAAATTTTTGTAATAAATATGAACACATTTTTGGAAAGATAACATTAATAACATATTGCAAAACTAATTTCACACCGCTGAGATGAACAGTTGTTGAGATGTTTACATGTGAAGAAACAGGAAGTGATGTCAAAGGGGAATGTCAGCATGTAAACAGAGCATTGCTACAATGGCTAACAGACTGTAGAGAAGAATCTGTTTCTTTAGATAATTTTAGTCCCTATAAGTGAGATGAAGAAGAGTCAGAGTTCAAATAATATTGTTTTAATAAACGAAGACCAGAGAGTTTTCTTTCTTAAAGAGTTCCCCTTTGATGTCACTTCCTGTTTCACTTTAGCTGAGCCAAATTCAAAGGAAAATATTCCAGTTATGAGACAAAATGGGTTAAATCATGTGTTTTACGACAATTTTCCTAATATGAAGATATTTTCTCAGACTTTTTGTATTTGAAGGATAGGCATGTCAGAGGAACTTTAACGTGCCTTTTATTTTGAAGGGTTTTAGTTGTGGCTTTCATTTTATTCTGAAAATTATAAAACTTCCTGCAGGTTGCCCTTCAGTTCCCGTACAGATTCTGGGACACGAAGATCCAGGGTGCAGATTACTTCGGTCACATCCCTGCAGCCCCGGAGAAAAAAGGCATGTTCAGTGTTTTCTACGACCTGGACCCACAGGTTTGTTTTATTTTTTTATTTTCTTTAACTTTTAGATAAATATCAATGTGTTCTGAATGACATTTAAAGTGCCTGCGAYATACAATTTTTGGTATAAATATAAAGGTATTATTAGAAAGATAACATTAATAACATATTGCAGAAATAATTTCCCACTGCTGAGATGAACAGTTGTTGAGATATTTGCCTGTGAAGTAACAGGAAGTGATGTCAGAGGGGAATATCTGCGTGTAATTAAATGGCTAACGACAGACTAGAGAAGAATCTGATGTTTCTTTAGATTATTTTGTCTCTATCAGAGAGATGAAGCATAAGAGTTCAAATAATAATGTTTCAATAAACGAAGACCAGAGAGTTCCCCTTTGATGTCACTTCCTGTTTCATTTTGAGACAAKTTTAAAAGGAAAATATGCCAACCATTTGACAAAACGAGTAAAATCACAAAGTTTTCTTTGATTTTTTTGTATTGGATGGATAGGCTCTTTAAAAACCTGCTGCTGGTTGAAGTTTTATCATCAAATCCAATAAAATAACATCAGATCTGTTTAAAAACTGAGTCTTTTCTGTCATAATTAAAACTARACATCTTTTCAGTGATTTACATCATTAAATATTTCTGTTTGTGTTTTATAACCAGGGGAAAGGAGCTGTGTTGATGTCGATCATCTCCGGTGAGGCTGTTCCCGCGGTTCAGAACCTGCAGGACAAAGAGGTGGTCGACGAGTGCCTGAGGGTCCTGAGGGGGCTTTTCAAGGAGCAGGTAGCTTAAAGGCAACAACAATTTTCAAATTGTCATATCTCTAAGACGTAAAGTTGTACAAATTTTAAAACTTCCACGAGTAAGACGCAATCTCTTCTGTCGCTCACGGTTCAAGAATTATTTCAATAGACCTTATAGTTTTCACACAGCGGCTGGTTGAGTGAACTAAACGTTTCAGAGATTTTCTCGTGTTGAAARTGCTGCRGACYCTTTCTGCCCCACCYACCACAATTCTGATTGGCTGAGGCYGTTGCTGGGCGGAGTAGCCTCTTGAGTGACAGAACAAAGAAGGGGCTTTATGTAACCCAACATGGCTACCAGATTGCTCAGCCGTTTTAAAACATACAAAGCTGAAATTTGGTGGGGTGGTAGCTGAGAGCTAACGCAACACATTCAGAATGCTAATCGCTAATGCTAATTTTAAAAAAAGGCTCTAATTCAGCCATTTTAGGACTTACAGAGCTCAAAACTGGTATAGTAGTAGCCAAGAACAAATTTTGACAAATTCTGAATGCTAAAGAAAAATTCAAGATGGCCGCCAACTCGACCAGTGTTAAGATATTTTGGGCTGAAGTTTGGTGTGATGGTAGCTAAGAAGAATCTCCATCACATACTGAAGCCAGATCAAAAATCTAAGATGGCCGCCGTAGTTAAAAGGAACCATAAATCTGCCATTTTTAGCCATATCAATGTGAAGTTTGGTGTGGTGGTAGCTGAGAGTAAATCCTCAAAACTTTGTTGAAAATAACCCTGCAGCACGAGGCGAGCCCTGTCGTCTCTCCAGGAACTATTCCAGTTTGTTTGTTGTTGGCAGGAAGTCCCCGAGCCTTTGAGTTTCTTCGTCACCCACTGGAGCAAAGACGTGTGGTCCCAGATGTCCTACAGCTTCGTGAAGACRGGCGGCAGCGGAGAGGCCTACGACATCCTCGCCGAAGACGTTCAGGGAAAGGTCTTCTTCGCCGGCGAGGTAACAGTGATGTGAAAAACCGGAGAGAACGTGAAACCACGAGGACCGGATCACGACTTTCCTTCTTTTCTGCCCTTCAGGCCACAAACCGACACTTCCCTCAGACTGTGACAGGAGCCTACCTCAGCGGGGTCCGAGAGGCCAGCAAGATGGCTGCCGTGTAGCTCCATCACCAGCTCAGGACTCAGCACCAGCACGGACCCCCAGGACCCAAACAGACCAACGCACTGCTGACGGACTCGCACCGCCTCGCACCGCCTCGCTCAGCTTCTGGAGCTTTTCTGCACGTTCAACACAAACYGACAAACTTTGTGTCAGATGTGAGGTCCAGCTGTGTGCAGGAAAACTGGATCCTGTTTCAGGTCCAAGATGTTTCTGTGGTTTGATTTGAGGGACTTTAGGCTGCATGAAACTTTATTTCTCTCAGGCATCTAGTCGTGAATAAACAGATTAAATCTGAGTTAGAAAGGATTAACATGATGATAAAACATCTTTCTGATCCAAACTGTAGTTCTGTAGTTAATGTTTAGGGTGACGTTAACTGAGTTTTAGCACTTTGAGTTTTAAAACAGTAAAAACTGGTGGAACGACAGGTGAACCAGGTGACTCCATTTCTTTCTCAGGGACGTTTTTAGCTGTAAAAACAAAAACCTCGGACTGTTCAGAAACTCTGCAGATYTCTCCTAAACAATAAAGTTCCTGAGGTTTGGAGTCCATGAGCAAGAATTTGTTTGGATCTTTGTGTGTCACTTCCTGTTTGACGTTTCGGCGCTCGGTTATTTATCGTCTGTGTAATAAACTGCTTAGGCTCGTTTATAC